AGATGTGCTGGGCCCCATTTAATCAGGGATTGTTCACATACGGTGAGCCGGTGTTTCAGGTGTCAGCAGATGGGCCATGAGTCGTTCAACTGCCCCACTAGAAATAAACAGGAGAAGGATGCTCAGAAGAGTGATGTGCAGAGAGGTGATGCCCAGAGGGGTGACAGACCCACTACAGCCGGTAGGATATTCGCCATGACGGGTGCTGAGGCTTCGACTTCTTCTGACGCAAATGTGATATTTTTATTTGACTCTGGGGCTTCTCATTCGTTTATATCCTATGCTTGTGTTGATATTTTGGGTGTGCCGGTGTGTGATTTGGGGTTGAAACTGTTAGTGTCAACGCCCGCTTCTACTTCGGTAGTTGCTTCTGAGTTGTGTGTTAATTGCCCTATTGTTGTGAATGAGAAGAAGTATAAGGTAAATTTGATTTGTTTACCTTTGATTGATATTGATATAATCTTAGGAATGGATTGGTTATCTACCAATCGTATCCTTATAGATTGTGCCAATAGGCTGTTAATCTTTCCTCAAGAAGAGGATGAATTGTTGATTTCAGCTAGTCAAGCTAAATTATTGTTGAAGGAAGGAGCAGAGTGTCGTTTCCTCCTTGCTGCTATGAGTATAGAGACTGAGAAGATCATTGCAAAAATTGATGTAGTACGGGATTTTGCTGAGGTGTTTCCTGATGAGGTACCTGGGTTGCCTCCTGTTAGGGAGATGGAGTTCAGCATTAACTTGGTTCCAGGTGCGGGACCAGTGTCAATAGCTCCCTATAGGATGGCTCCTGCTGAGCTAGCTGAGCTGAAAGGTCAGTTGGAGGACTTATTAGAAAAGCAGTTGGTGAGGCCGAGTGTTTCGCCGTGGGGAGCTCCGGTGTTATTGGTAAAGAAGAAGGATGGAGGTAGTCGACTATGTGTTGATTATCGGCAGCTGAACAAATTGACCATTAAGAACAAATATCCACTGCCACGGATAGATGACTTAATGGATCAACTGAGGGGAGCATCAGTGTTTTCTAAGATTGATTTGAGGTCAGGATATCACCAGATTAGGGTAAAGGAGGGTGACATACCGAAGACTGCTTTCAGGACTAGGTATGTTAACTATGAATATTTTGTGATGCCGTTCGGTGTGACCAACGCCCCTGCTGTGTTCATGGACTACATGAACAGGATCTTTCGGCCGTTCTTGGACAAATTCGTAGTGGTGTTTATTGACGATATCTTGATTTATTCAAGGACCCCGGAGGAGCACGGTGAACACTTGAGGACAGTGCTGGAGATTTTGAAGGCGAAGCAACTGTATGCTAAGTTTTCAAAATGTGAGTTCTGGTTAGAGGAGGTGAAGTTCTTAAGACATGTGATCTCAGCTGAGGGGATTGCTGTTGATCCGGCTAAGGTGGAGTCGGTGTTGCAGTGGGAGCGTCCCAGAACTGTCACTGATATTCGGAGTTTTGTGGGTTTGGCGGGTTACTATAGGCGGTTCATTGAAGGATTCTCTAAGATAGTAGCGCCTCTGACCCAGCTGACTAGGAAGGAGCAGCCATTCATTTGGACTGATACATGTGAACAAAGTTTTGTTGAGTTAAAGAAGAGGTTAACTACTTCTCCTGTGTTGGTGTTGCCGGATTCTGGTGAACCTTTTGATGTGTATTGTGATGCTTCTCACCAGGGTCTTGGATGTGTGTTGATGCAACACGAGAAAGTGGTGGCTTATGCTTCAAGACAACTGAAGAATCATGAGAGAAATTATCCCACTCATGACTTGGAATTAGCAGCTGTGGTATTTGCCTTGAAGATATGGAGACATTATTTGTATGGTGCTCAATTCAAAGTCTTCAGTGATCACAAGAGTCTTAAGTACTTATTTGATCAAAAGGAACTAAACATAAGGCAGAGGAGGTGGATGGAATTTCTGAAAGACTATGACTTCCAGTTGATGTATCATCCTGGTAAGGCCAATGTTGTGGCGGACGCACTAAGCAGAAAAACCATCCACGTGTCTGGGATGATGGTAAAGGAGCTGGAGTTGGTGGAGAAGTTCAGAGATTTGAATCTCTGTGTGGAGTTAGCTCAGGATCACATTAGTTGTGGGGCAATTATCATAACTAATGAGTTCTTGAGGCAGGTCGGACTTAAGCAGTTGCAAGACACCGAGCTGGTGAAGCTTCTTGGATTGCTAGGTACTGAGAAAGCTATAGGCTTTGAGCTGGGAGAAGATGGGATCTTGAGGTTTAAGGGCAGAATTTGTCTACCTCAGGATGCTGAGCTGAAGAAAGCTGTACTGGATGAGGGTCACAAGAGCAGACTTAGCATACATCCAGGTATGACTAAGATGTACCAAGACCTCAAGAAAACTTTCTGGTGGTCTGGTATGAAAAGGGAGATAGCTGAGTATGTGGCTGGCTGTCTGACCTGTCAGAAGGCAAAAGTTGAGCATCAGAAACCGAGTGGGCTGATGCAACAGATGGAGATTCCGGAATGGAAGTGGGATAGTATCACTATGGATTTCATTGTAGGGTTACCTCGGTCAGCTAGGAATAGTGATGCTATCTGGGTGATTGTTGATCAGTTGACCAAGTGTGCGCATTTCTTGCCTGTCAACATCAAGTGGTCCTTGGAGAAGCTGACGCAGTTGTATATAAGGGAGATAGTACGGTTACACGGGGTGCCTTCCAGTATTATTTCCGATCGAGATCCAAGGTTCACTTCTAGATTTTGGCAGAGTCTACACCAAGCTCTAGGCACGAAGCTGAAGCTGAGTTCTGCTTATCATCCGCAGACGGATGGTCAGTCGGAGAGGACAATCCAGTCCTTGGAGGATCTGCTGAGGGCTTGTGTATTAGACCACTTAGGTAGCTGGGAGGAGGTCCTACCGCTGGTGGAGTTTACTTATAATAACAGCTTTCATGCTAGCATTGGGATGGCTCCGTTTGAAGCTTTGTATGGCAGGAGATGTAGGACTCCTTTGTGCTGGTATCAAAATGGTGAGTCAGTGATTGTGGGACCGGAGTTGATCTTACAGACTACTGAAAAAGTGAAGATAATTCAGGAAAAGATGAGGACTGCTCAGAGTAGGCAGAAATCATATGCTGACAAGAGGCGTAAGCCTTTGGAGTTTGCCGAGGGGGAGCATGTGTTTCTGAAGGTGACTCCAACTTCGGGGGTAGGTAGAGCGCTGAAGGCAAGAAAGTTAACACCAAGGTTTGTGGGTCCCTATCAGATCATACAACGTGTAGGTCCGGTTGCTTATCGGTTGGCCTTACCATCGTCTCTTTCAAACCTACACGATGTATTTCACGTATCCCAGCTAAGAAAGTATGTTCATGACCCGAGTCATGTGGTGGAGATGGATGAGGTGCAGGTGAAGGAGAATCTGACTTATGAAAAGAAACCGGTAGCTATAATTGATCATAAGTTGACCGAGCTTCGTGGCAAGTCCATAAAATTGGTGAAAATTCTTTGGGATGCAACTACGGGTGAGGCAACTTGGGAAGTCGAAAGTCAGTTCAAGGAACAGTACCCATATCTCTTCTAAGTAAGTGAATTTTCGAGATTTTCTTGTCTAGACACAAGAAAACAGACCATTACCTTTGGGAACAATGTTTTTTGTAGAGTTTGATGGTACAGAAGCTTCATGTTTGAGTTGAGAGAGTAGGTTCTTTAGCATATCCATTTGCTCATTAGAAAAAATACCAGAACATTACTTCTTTAAATCTGTAGAAGATTCAACAACATTAAAAGAGGCAGTAACTTTGCGTTGACTTCTAGGTTTTCAATTTGCAAGTTTTGCATGAATGAGCCAACATGTCTCCTTGGTGTGGTAAGGTTTTTGGCAATGATCACACCATGTCTTGGCCTCTTTAGGAAGGATAGTCTTTAGATCATTTTTCCTAGATACAAGATGTGAGTTTAGATGAGAATCCTCAATTGTAGGATTGTTTTGCAGCATCACTTTTCTCCTACTTTCTTCTCTTGTAACCATGGCAAAGGCTTCCTTGAGAGATGGTAGTAGTTTAAGGCCAAGGATTCGTCCCCTAACTTCATCTAATTCTTTTATAAGTCACTGAAAGAAATCAAATACCCTCTCTTTTTCCAGCATTTGGTCATACAATAATTTATCCTCGCAACATTTTCATGAAACAGTATAAAACAAGTCCATTTCTTGCCATAACTTGACCAACATATTAAAATACTTGATTACAGATTTGTTACCTTGTTGAGTATTATGCAAAGCTGACCTTATTTCAAAGCATTGGGCAAAGTACATCTCTTGAACAGGGGTCCATATTTCATGGGAAGTTTTGCAGAAAAGGTAAGTTCTGCCAATTTTAAGTTCCATTGACTTGATCAACCAAGTCATGACAATGGAGTTCTCTGCATCCCAACTATTGTAGGAAGGATCAGTCATTGGTGGCGCGATAGAAGCCCCTATAAGATAGCCCATTTTTCCTTTCCCTTTGATGACAAGAAGGACCGACTGGTACCATTCTCGGAAGTTTAACCCATTTAATTTGTGTTGGGTTATTTGAATTGAGGGGTTTAGGTCGATAGATTGGAAGGATGAAGCCATATGGGTTGGGTTGTTTAGGTTTCTATTGGAAGGCAAAATAATTTCTGGTGTGGATGGTTGTGTGGGTGGCACATCAGCCATGAAACTGTATTGAGTTTTCATCTAAGATGAAGAAGAGTAGGTTGTGATACCATATTATCATAAGCGGAAGAAATCATTCTTCTTGTTTTATTCAAATGATTGGTCTAGTACATAAATTGGTAAAACAGGGAGACAAAAAAGGAAACAAATAATAGGAAATTTTTATAATTAAATAAGAATCTCTATAAATCAGTAACAGCAATAAAGAATAAATTGTAGACCCTAATCCCTAAAATTCTGCAACATAATAATATCCCATAAATTTTGGGATTCCTATCCAACAAAAGCAAAGATGGTAATAGCTAGTATAGTCAACAAATTCTTATCTATATGCATTGGCCTACCTATATAGATCTGATTTCTTGTACAAGTCAGTAAAATCAACACCCAAACTAAGTTCTTGTGCTGTAGTTGTAACTTCCAACATCCAAGTAAAGTGATGCTGCAAAACAATCCTACAATTGAGGATTCTCATCTAAACTCACATCTTGTATCTAGGAAAAATGATCTAAAGACTATCCTTCCTAAAGAGGCCAAGACATGGTGTGATCATTGCCAAAAACCTTACCACACCAAGGAGACATGTTGGCTCATTCATGCAAAAATGCTCCAAAGTTTTGGCAAGTCTCGAAGAGATAACCTTGCCTTCTTCTTTTAAATTCTTCTGACGTTGCACAACGTCTTGACTTTGAGTCTTCAAGGCGGCCTGTTTCGAGCGAAGAGTATTCAACTCATGCTGCAAGGCTTCGATGGACGCTGTGCAATCTGCTTCCTCCTGTTGCAACTTTTTCAAGACATGGATCACCTCCTCGATAGATTTTCGAATAGAGATCAGATCCTCGCGGAGCTTCTCGAGTTTAGCACGGTCACCCTCACTCTCAACTTCAATCTGAGCCACTTCCTGGAAAGTGGTAGACCACTGCGATCGAAGATCTGAAGCGAGAGTAAAAGACTGGGTAAACTCTTGCAGCTCAGTATTGATTGTAGGAGGAAGGTCAGAGAAGGCAAGCAAGTCTTCGACCATTTGCTCAACTTCGATTTTAAAGGCTGGGTCGAGGAGGGCTTGATCCAAGTCATCTACATAGGCCTTTGATCTAAAAGACTCGAGCACGGACTGGTAAGATGGGTTTGTCTCGGATACTTGTTCGATTTTCTCTATCTCCTTTTCTGACCTAGATGGACCACTCGTCCAGTTGTCGAGAACGTCGAACATACTATTGATATCCTCGTCCTCTTCGTTGAAAAAGCTCATCAAGTCCAAGTTAGTAGAAGGGATCGAGGAAAGTCCTTGTATAGAAGATTCGACGCCACCTTGGGTCGAAGGAGAAGTAGTGAAAGGCCTGGGAGATTCAGTTGAATCTATTATAGACAAACAATGTGTAAGACAGATGGTTTCATTATGACTCATGAAATGATAAAAGTTTGAAAGAAAAGAAATATACCAGTGTTTGGACTCAAGGGAGGTTGAAGCTCGAAAGAAGGTTCACCTTGGGCAGACTCTTGCAAGGTCTCCACATTCGCCAAAGGTTCCGACTGGGGAACCTTTTCCTCCTCGACCTCAGGAAGAATCTCTATTGAAGCCACTATCGAAGCAATCTCAGCAACGTTCAATTGGGGCGTGGCCGACTGCAAACAAACGATGCGATCAGAGAAAAAGATTAAAGTTAATAAAAATGAAAGCTGAGAAAAGACGAACCTGTTGAGATGCCCCAGTAAGAGGAGGTATATCTCTCGACATTTCCCGAGAGGAGTCAATTTGGATGATTTCGACATCCTATGAAAGACAGATATCTTAGAAAGGTCGAAGGAGTAAGAAAATTTAATCAAAATCAAAGCAAAAATACCTTGGAAACTGATTTCATGGCATCCTTAAGAAGTTTCTCCACAGGAGGCTGTTGAGATTTCTTAGGAAGAGGGATCACTAGCTTTCCCTTTCCTTTATCCTGCTTCTTTGTGGTCGAAACCTGTAAGTAAAAGGACAATCTTTGTAGTTAAGACTCGAAATAGGTAAGACTCAATAGACAAGAAAATATTAAAGACAACAGATTTGCCTACTGTCTTGGTGCTACCAGAGTCCACTTTTTGTTTTTTCGAAGTCTCAACACTCTAAAATACAAGAACCCGAAAAGGTCAAGAACTAAACAAATCTAGAAATTTGACCGAGGGGTTAGCTCGAAAAGAATTGTACCTTGGAGCGTAGTGAGACCTTGTCAGAAGCGGTGTCTCGTTTTTGACCTTTCAATGATGACCCTTTAGTATCATCATCATCGTCACTCTCCCAGTTGGGAGTTTGTTCAGCGTGTTGTGGAACACGTTGAGGAATAGCAGCTGTATAAGGTATAAATATAGAAAAGGGATGAGATAAGTACGAAATAGAATTCGAGAAAGTTTTTAGTTAAGTCATTTACCAGGGGGAGGATTGGTATTATCGACCCAACACAATGGCCAAAATCTTCTTCGAGGAAAATCGTACAGGGAACATTTCGCATAGGTAACTCGATCTTTTACAGGAACTACTTTGCGGTCAAGATAAAATGGGTCGAGTGTTTTCACCCAAGATGGGCGAGATAAATGTTTTAATAAACCAAAAAGGGCATTTGGAAGAGGAGGTATGTGTTTTGAACAAAATTTTTCGAAATCAATTTTTCCTCGAGGGTTAATCACCTTCTTCGAACGGATGTTCCTCTGTACCATTTTCGATAAAGAGACAGATGCATCGAAGATGGTTTGGCCAATGTTGTCAGGTCGATAACAAACTTTAAAAAATTGCTCGAATTGGTAAATAATAGTTTAGTTCCTGAAAGTATCTGACTGTTTCGGTCCCTCCGAAGAAAGAGGAGAGTTGATCAGCTTCTTCAAAAAAGCATCAAAATCGACAAGTTTATCTACATAATATTCACACCACCATCGAAGGTAACATCTTGAGACTAAGAAAGAAGGAGAGAAAGTAGATGGTGTGAGCTTAAGTTCTATGCCAGGATGGAGGATAAAATCTAAAACTTCTTGGTAATTCCCTTCTTCAACACAAATATCAGCATCAATGCTCTCTTTATGTCGGAGAGGAAGTGGTTTCATTTGACAAAGTCTGAATTGTCGAGCAAAGAGTTGAGGCTGATAAGGGTAAATTCGAACATCCTTTTGCCGCATTCCTGAGATTATAACATCCCACGAAAGAAAGCCAGACCACATCTCGAAAGAATCGGGGGATATTTGCCCTACTTGATTGTTCTGTCGAAGCCACGAAGGGCCCATTAATGTAGTCCGTATAAAAGGTGCCAGATCTTCAGTGAAGTGGGTAAAACTAAAGATAGCATCGATGTATTTGGCAAAATTCTGGATGGAGCATTTTCGAGGAGTAAGAATGGTCAAACGAGCCCTCTCTAGTGCACAAGTTGGAGTAAATGATGAAGTCAAAGAAAGTTTTTTCTCGAAAATGGCGTTGAGCCACAATTGAAGCAGCCATAAGGGTCCCAAGAGATTTCGAGGACCAGATTCTCGAAAAAGATTCTCCGAGGCTTCATTAAGACAGGTATATAATGAAGCTAATAAGAGTTTGCTTAAGCAAATTCATTTTTTCGAATGTAAAGCTTGAGCCAGAGCATAGTAATATTTCGAAACTTGGAGAGAGGGAGTATAGAAGACACACGCAGATAACCAATACATTAAGAATGCAATATACTCAGAAGTCGAAACAGGGGTATCAGGTTCTCCTACGTGAGCAGTGATAAAAGCCAGGTAAGTCTTCTTGTCCCAAGAAATAGAAGTTTCTTTGATCGAAATTTCTTCCTCAAAAGCATCAGGGTGAAATCTATCTCCTATGGGAGCCAGACCAGTCATTGCCGCAATATCCAACAAAGTAGGGCATACAAAACTACAGGGGAACTCGAAAGCTCGAGTCTCTCTATTCCAAAAGAAAATGGCAGAAAGAAGCATTTGGGGTCGAAGAGGTGTAAATCAAATTTCGCAAGTTGAATAAATTCGAAAATACTGGTTTCAATCCATGAAGAACTCATTGCACTCTCTATGCGGGTTAACCAGCGCGAGTGCCTATCTTTAATGGGAGGAAAGGCTCTAAAGATCTTAGTAGTATATCCAAACAGCAATAGGTCTATCTCAGCAGAATGAATAAAGGGGAGGGTAGAGGTATCTTCAGGTAATAAGGTATTGCCAAATTTTTTCTTATTCTGACCTATAAACGGCCCTAAGAAAGCATGCACATTACCATTCTCAAGAAAGAAGGGAAATAGTACCTGAGATTGAAAGATTTTTAGGCTGGCCTCTTCCATGCCTGGAATAGGGACGAAGGTATCGTCCCCATCTGTGACCTTGCAGACTTGAGCATTAGCCATCAGTAGAGGACTTATCTGAGTGGAGGTTGCGGTGGCAGTGGCCATGGTTGTTACGTGAGCCACGGTAGGAGACGTTGCAGTTGCCAAAACTGGAGATGAAGCCGAGGCAGTAGTAGGAGAAGCGGTGGAGGCTACAGCGGCGGAGGTTGATGCAGCAGAAAAGGCCATGGATGAGTAACAGCAAAGAACGTATGAAGGAATAAGAGATCACCAAAGAAGAAGATCAAGAAGTGGAGCAAAAGAAAGCAAGAAACTTGTGTGCAAAGGTAGTGAAGTGGTAAAGATGGCTTTACCCTATGGTAAAAAGAGAGTCTTGAAAGAGGTAAATGGGCCTTAGGTCAAAGCGGGTCCATGTGAATTCAAATATTAACTCATATCAATTCAAATCAAGCTACCAAAACCGTTTCTTCAAAGACAAATTTATGGGGCAGAATGAGCACGCGCCGTCAGGGCAATCAATGTCCCATCAAACGGTCATTCAAATTAAATGCGGAATCAGGGTAGGTTTTCATCGAAGAAACAAAAGGTCAAAAGTTACGACTTAAACGAGCACTTAAACCATATCGATAAAAGATCGAAGAATGGTTCTCGATAGGAATTCAAGTCTCTCATCGCAGTAAGTATGCTCACGACGACCGAATTCCTAGGGGGGCATTTGTTAAGCCTACTCGAAGACTACATTGGTCGAAATAGTATATGAGATTCCTCGAAAAACGTTACAAAATCGACACTTACCAGCAACAAAGGTTCAAGATCAAAAAGAATTATTTCGAGTGGTACCACGATATGCCCGAAGGAAAAATAGACGTTGTCAGAGGTTTTCTTGTACGATTACACCAAGGCAGTTATTCAAAAATAGATCGAGGAAGTAAAAAACACGTGGGAGGACAGTTATGGAAAGTTATATGAAACCAACGTAAGCAATGTAGTGGAGAGCAGTTATACACACCCACGATGGATTCTCACGAAATTAACTGCTCTTAATTAAACTCTATAAATATAAGGAACGTATACCTTCACGATGGTCAGAAAAACCCATACTTGAATATAGCTCTCAAGCACTCTCCGCCTGCGCATATGGCTTTCGTGCAAGGAATCGTTTTTGGGTATGGTTGCTTCTTGACCACATTTCTTTTCTCTTTTTAAATTAGGATTAGTTTAGTCTTCTTTTTTCTTGTAATCACGTAGTTTTAATTTACGCAAACTCTGATGATGTTGTAATGCTTGAACATTATGAACCATGATCTGTATAGGAAGTATATCTATTGTTCATTTTGTTTATTTAAGCGTTTACGTGCATGAACATTATTTGTTGATAATCATTGACGAATATTTGGAAATCAGTCACTATTAAATCTTCCTCCTACGTTTTCTATCCTTAAATTAATAACCTAAATTGAAATCGTTGTTGGTGCTAGTCCGAATATAAAGAATCCACAAACGAATTTCACCATAAACAATGACCAAGGATCGATTCAAGTCTAATATATTTCAGTTCATTTGACTTCATTATATGATCAACTATGTGCTACAGTCACAAAAAAGAAGAGTATAACAAGTAAAATGTATTATATTCATAACTAGAGAAAAATAAAAGCTCATCCGTGAAAAGTAAAAACTACATAAAAATGAAAACAAATAATAATGCAATGAAAGAATTCAAAAACAGAATTCTTACATTATATAGGAACAAATATTTCTCACTGTTTTTGTGGACATTGGACAGAGAAAATGTAAACGAAAAATAGAGCATATAGTATCTCACACTGATAAAAGTGATCCAAATTGAATTATTCTAATGCCTAATTGTTAATTAAATGTTATAATAAATCCAAGATGAATAGTAGGCAATCTAAAAAGTGAAAATTACCTGCTGCAGATACTCTTCAACACTTGTAGCCTCAACAGGAAAAACATCCTCAAAAGCTGTCTTCAAAGGGGGAAAAAGACAAAATGTATGCATCAGCGATATAGTAGCCATATGAATTAAGTAACAGAAAGAACCACAGCAAACAACTTGACATGAACTTTCAAGGGAAAATTATGTTTGCTAACAAGTTGTATCAGGAAAACAAGCCTGTGACTTAAACTATAGCAGTGCAGAAATTTCATGAAACCTATCACCAAATGTTCAATGTGAAAAACATTGTAAAGTTGATATTAAGTAATACCTTCAGTTCAAATGACTTCAGATCCCTAGCAAGCTGCTCTGCATTTATCCCCTCTCGAGCAAGGAGCCTGTCCATGCAAAAGAAATAAGAAAAATGATCACAATAATTGACTGAGTTCATTTAATCACAAAATTTCTGCTTTAAGGAAATTATTTTGGGAAGTAAGAAGATGATCTCCATTTTCCCTGGTAAGAAAATGTGCAATTAAAGGGATGCCGCTTTAAAAAAGGGCTAGAGGGAGACCAAAAGAGCGTGGTGTGAAGGGAAGTGAGAAATGGGATACTGTTTTGGAGGGTTTAAGCTAACCATGGGACGCCTCATGAATGCATGATACAAGATTAAGTTTGGGAAAAATGAAAATCTAAAATCCAAGAAGCCAACACCATTTGGTACTTGGTAGAAATTAAAAATCTTTCGAAGTTCTAACAACTCAAAGAACTCCAGATAGCCACAACATCATTTGATATTTTTTATAATGTTTAAATTCTACATGATTGAATAATTCAAAGATAATTAAAAAACTTGCAGCACTGGCAATTATAATTCATAACCAAAGAGTACCTTGTTGCAGCAATAGATTGCCAACGTGCTTCAGTCCTTACGGTCTTGGATTTAAGCTTCTTGGATAACGCTTCCAGTTGATCCAAGTTCCTCTGAACAATGTAAAAAGGTGAATTCAAAACCAGAGATCTCGAAAGCCATATCTAATCAACAGTAATTCCTATTCTTCTAACTAGTGACAATTCTCACTGACAGAAAGAAGCAATGTTCATCCATTTTCTCGGTCAAATTGAAGCTATCCTTGCCTCGGTTCACAACCGAAATACACTCACTCAGCTTCCAACTTCATTTTATGCATTCATAAAACTTAAACGTGACGAAAATTTTCGTAGCAGTTAAAATAAAAGAGTGAAAAAAATGCTTGGAAGAAAATGAAGTATGTGGAAAACGAAGAACACAAGTTGAATCGGTGGCATTGAAATGAAATTGAGAAATGGAGAATGAAAATGAAATAGTGTGAAGTGTGTGTGGGTTTGGAAGAGAAGGAAACCTGAAGGGGAGGGAACTGAGCAGAAGGAGCAGCTTGTTCGAGAAGCTTGGTTGACGAATGTAGGAGATCGGTCCAACTTTCGTTCGCCATGGCTCGCAAGAACAAGAACAAGGGTTTTAGTTTTACAGACACAAACGCTCTTAAGCCCTGAAATTTGAAAACTCAGGTTGGGTTCTGCACAACGGAGATGCACCCTAATCAACGGGTTGTTTCAGACCAAATATACCAATTTATAGTTATGTATTATCATAATAATTTTTACACATAAAAGTAATTATTATAAAATTAAATAATTTTATCATATAGTAGTTAGTATAATTAAATTAAATTGAATGTTGAAGAGAAATTTGGGCTTTGTTTGGATTTGAGGATGGAAAAGGGGGAGTGGAAAAGGAGGGATTTGAAGGGAAAATGAGGTTGTTTGGATTAAGGGAAAGTGAGTGGAAAGTGTAGATAAAGTTTGTGAAAGTTTGTGAATGAATTGATTAATGTGATAGATAAAAATATTTTTTTTAATTGATAATTGTGAAAGATTACTATTTTGCCCTTAGGTTAAAAAAAGTTTATAATTATTATAATTAAAAGATAAATATATAAATTTTAACTAAAAAATTATTAAAAAAATTAATTTAAAAATAAATTAATTTAAATATTTGCTTTAAATTTAATGATAGATAAAAAATAAAAA